TTTCCTTCTCCACCCAACATATGCTTAGAAAGGGCACTCTGTATTTATAAGAAACCTACCCTTGTTGTAATTTAAATGTTGTGAATGACCTGTGGTGAACATTCTGCATATTTTAGTAAGATTAAGTTTTCAGCACTAAGCCTACCACTGCTACTGTTTCATTTCAGGCCAAGAGTTTGATCATTTAACAGTAATTATTCTGCCAACATAAATTAGAGGATTTTCACATTGCCTAACTCTCCAAAGTAACCAGTGTAGCTATTTACCTAAAAATAGAAGTCCAAAAGCAGATATTTAAAAATTCAAAACTGCTGCTTCTAAAAGCACTTTGTAGTATATTTATTTGGATTATCGAAGCAATTTTTCTCCAATCTTCCTTTAAAAAAAAAATTCAAAGATTCCTCATTTTAGTCAGAATGACATTGCTGCTGTTGTTGTTGTTGTAATAAATATTAATTATAAACCATACTAGGAAGTTGTATAAAAGGTTCAACATTACATGAAAGTCCATGAATTCATAGTTGCATATTGATCAAATGACATGAAAAGCTAGTGTGTCCCAATTAGCTAATAAGCCACAATTTTTTGATATTTTCCAGGTTAGCTTGAATCAATCCATCACACTTAAGTGAAGTATTTGAAGAACTTCAACATAGAGAGGAGGAGATATCATCCATAAATCCTGCTGTAGGAAGCTAATTACAGTCACACCAACTACCCTGATACATAACCCTGATACATTAGATAACAATAACTTCAATTAAAAATTTAAATATGATATGCTGGCAATCTATCATGAGTACCCTGGCAAAAAACCAAAAACAAATACATCCCATAATTTTACCGTAGTTTTTTTTTTTTAATTCATTTCAGCATTTAAAACAACGTATGCAGCATTTTTCAATTTGTCTTGGACTCATTACTAGTACTTTAAATGAATAGTTATTTTGACATTTAACAGTCAGAAAGCTCCCCAGAGGCTAAATATATGCTTGTTGCCAAAAACATACTCTCAGTAAAATGCTAGAGCTTGCATCTTTTACTTAATAAATACTTATATAATTGTAACTGGAAGATATGGAAGCATAGTTAACATGCAGATGTTTATCCATTCGAGCTTTAAATATCACAGAAACATTACATATATACATCCAGCGATAAGCCCTACTAAACTCAGGGCAGCACAGTTTTAGTAGACAAGATGATTGATTTACTGAACATGAGGTAAATCATGCAGATTTGTTCTGTGAAGTCTCTTTCCGTTCTATAAAATTTGTTCTCTGTTCTATGAAAAATCTGTAAAAAGCACTTTTTTATATCAGTGCAGATATTCCTAGCCAGCTTTCTGCTTTTTATAAGTGCTATAAAATAATAATGAAAAAACTCAGGCCCCAGAAGCTATTGAGATAAAGCTATTGAGCTACAGTACTCTTTTCAAATGTATTCAGTGATAGAAACTTATAACAAATGCTGATTGCCAATGCTGTCCCTTCATAAAAAAAAGTCATATTCTATCCATAACTTTATATCCACAAAAAGAAACATGTGTTATACCACCCTAGTCTATTTCACGTATAAAATAAGTATGTTAAATCTGGAAAATATATGGTTAACAGAAGACAAAAAATGCACTGCTGATTCAGGTTTTTAGCTGGAAAAAATGAGATGTGTTAAAAATATGCTGCGTTGAATAGCACCAGGATAACTTGTCAAGTTAACATATTTTAATTTCAATATGGTTGACTTCCATTTACTAGAAATAGGATAGAATGGATGAAATGCAATTCTTATGCAACTGATGGAATAAAAATGCTCCAATCAGAATAAACATGATGGTTTTAATTCATCTGTGAATGCCATTTCTAGATGGGGCAGTCAAGTGATAAAACATGTAGCTCTGGCTTTTAAGTTTAGGAATTTTTTAAAAAAATTGTGCACTTTGGTATTGGGGAAAAAAAACTTGGTAATCACTTGTTTACCTTAATTTCCTGCACTGGCAAGCATCACCCAAAAAAATCAAACAAACCTATTCACTAAACTAAAGAAACAACAAAACCCCCAACCTTAAGCATTAATTTGAAATTTGAAATTAGGATTTAGTAGATGATACTGAAACAAAATATGTTTCTGTTTCAACACTCTTTATGTTTCTTAAGAATTCTTGTTTAGGAATTATTTTAATAGTTTTATAGTGTTTCATGGAAAAATTGCACATTCTGATAAAAGGGTTTCGGAATTTATTCATAGAAGTGTGATTCTCTTTCACTAAAATGTCAGGCTAAATGCCAGACTGATAGACAGTTTCCAGTGAGCATTCACCATAACTTGTTTATTTCACTTCCCCAAAGGCAAAGAAAGGCTGACTCTGAGTAATGGCCTGGCTTTCATTGTTAAGTCAGAGTAAACTCATTTTATCCACATGATGGTAGAATGAGAATCTTGAGTGCAAATACTGCTTTAGAAGAGAGTCTTCGCTTTGAAAATTAATGGAAATTAAATATTTGTATAGTAAGGTGAGTATCTGTGTTTCTGTTCGCCTTGAATAATGCCCAGGAAAGTAGGGAAGAACAGAGTAGAAGAAATAATATACTATTAAGATGGATGTAAGTTAAGGACCTTTTTGCAATCTTATTCTCTTCTCTATTTAAAGCAAAATAGACTGTTATCCATTCTTTCTTCAACCTATTAAAAGCAGTGGAATGAAATGATTACACAGATCTAATCTACTACCATGGATTATATTTATCCTGTCAAAAGCTTTATTTGGATAAAATAACTATTTGTTTGACTGCAGACAGTTTCTCTAGATGGAAGGCCATTAGTCGCAGCACACTTCAGTTCTGACACATTAATGGACCTACATGGTGCAACTCTAAAGTTCACGAATCCATCAAGGGAAATCAATATCCAAAGTTGAATTGTGAATTTGAGAAAAATAAAACCTTATTCATTTTCATTTAATCTTCAGCACCAAAAGAAGTATTCACGATATGTTTAACAATCAAGACTTATTCCCACTTTTTGCAATTTATGTTCAGCATAATAAATAAATATGGAGAATCAAGTGACTAAACTTAAGAGGTTTTATTGCCAAGTGGTGCAATGCTTTTCAGAACTGGAACAACATTTATCTTTTGAATGACTTGAGAATCCTACATATGTCAGTAGAGTCAGCACAAAAAAGCATCAGAAATTGCTTCCAATATTGTTAACACAATAAATTCTATGCATTTCATACTTTCACCTTTGTCACATTAATAATTCAATTCAGCTAAAATTTTTGGAGGAGCTCTGGAGACCATGCTTGGTTTTGACGTCACAACTTTTATAACTTGGCTCTTCTATTTTCTTGATGACAGTTTCATTGGCAATTGATGTACCACACTACATTTGAGAAACCATTATGCTGAAGTGGCAGTTATTGATGTTAATAACTGGAAATATTCATTCAGCTGCCAGGTCATAATATTTCTGTTAATTTCAATGTACTGAACTATTATTTGCTCTTCTTGGCTTTCCAATGTCACATATTTATTTCTTAATCATTTTTTTTTCTTTTTACTACTCCTTAATTCATTTGTTTTGGGGTAGAGTCAGGGTGACTTGAGTGAAACTGAGCGTTTACTAGCTGGATGCCTTTCCTGACACCTATGCGGAGTTCACAGAAGATATTTTCTCTTTGCACCCTGATAGAGAAACATCTGCCACTGCCTAGGATCGAACTGTCAACTTTCTGAGTGGGAGAAGAGTGCCTTCACTTCTAGACTATGGCTCTACTCATTATTAATCAAATTTATATAGCCACCTATCTCCCCATTCACACTAAAATGTTGAATGTATACTTTTTAAAGTATGGTTTTCCTTTTCACTTAGATTTGAATTACTTTGTGCCGTGGATGAAATTTTGATCTTAAAAGAAATTTCACAAAAGTATTGGCTACATATATTATTACTTTAAAAACAATAACAAAACTAGATGCAGTAGCAATAAAAGTGTATTATAGTAGCCTTTTTTTCCAAATTCAGAAATAACGTTTGTCAAAAATAGACAACAAACAAGAAGACTTACTGGCGGATGAATGGAGTAATAATCATTTTGAAAGAAGAGATAATAAGTCTGTGCCAATTGGTCTAGTGGTTAATACGCTGGCCCAGAAACCAAGAGACTAAGAGTTCTATTCCTGTTTTAGGCATGAAATTTGTCTGTCTTAGGCATGAGATGGGCAGCAAATAAATTTCATAATAAATAAATAATTTATTCATTTCACTCTCTCTCAGTCCAACCTATCTCACAGAATTCTTGTGTGGAAAATAGGAGGAGGAAGGAGTTTTATGTATGTTCATCACCTTGAGTTGCTTCTAAAGTAATAAAGGCAGAATTTTAAAAAACCTGATAATTTCACTTATTTTTCAGGAAGGAACACTTTAAACAAGAGATTTAAAGTAAATATCTGAATCAGAGGTGGGTTTCAGCAGGTTCTGACCAGTTCTGGAGAACTGGTAGTAGAAATTTTGAGTAGTTTGGAGAATCGGTAGTAAAAATTCTGACTGGTCCCGCCTCCATCTATTCTCTGCCTCCCAAATCCCAGCTGATCGGGAGTAAATGGGGATTTTGCAGTAACCTTCCCCTGGATTGAGGAGGGAATGGAGATTCTATAGTATCCTTCCCCTGCCATGCCCACAAAGCGCCCACCAAGCCATGCCACACTCACCAAGCCACACCCACAGAACCGGTAGTAAAATTTTCTGTATGTACAAAAAGTATATCTGTGATGCAATAGCAAAATCGCTAATACAGTATACATGCTACACTTATCAAACGTAATTTGGGATACAATTTTTTTTAGAACTCTACACAAACATAAATGCTAACACAAATAAAAGTTTAATGAAATTCTACTGAGTTAGATTCTGTCACAAAGCAAAATAATGAAATAACTTTAATTTCATTACAATATTTAAAAAAAGCTTTCTAGCAAAGTTAAGAAGGAAATACTTACATGCAATACGGACATAGGCCTTCCTACTCTTGGTTGTGCCTGCAGAACTCCAAGCCACACACTGGCACCAGTAGTCTTCGGGTCCAAAGAGTTCTTCAACTTGTTGCCGTGAAATCTCAATGCTTACCTCTCGAACAATGAGTCCTATTAAAACATAATCAATATGTCTATATTGATTTCAGAATTTGACATTTCATAGCAGTATGTAAGTAACTCATTGGTATGGAAAAGGGAGCAGTTGCATGACAAGCAAGCGTTTTTAAGACATCTTTGAAACACATATACTTTTTAAAAATATAAGTAAGTAGAGCTTGCTTATTTTGGGGATAGGGCTTATATTGGGCACATGCACAGAAAAGATGCTAGGGGATATTTTCAGGATAGGTCTTATTTTCAGGGAAACACGGTACCTTACTGAGGAAGTGACGAAGGTAAGAAGAAGGGAAAAATATGCATTTTTATAAAAGATGTATTTCACATACCATGTTTTCCTGAAAATAAGACCCTGTCTTATATTTTTTTTTGAACCCTGAAATAAGCGCTTGGCCCTATTGCCATGCGCTCAAAAGCCCAATTGGCCTTATTATCAGGGGATGTCTTATTTTGGGGAAAACAGGGTAGTTAGGCACATAATTATAAATCAAAGTTAAAATAAGTAGTAGATTATTGCCAGTGATATAAAATTAATCAAGTTATGCTCACTTACATTAGTTGGGCATCAAATAGCTTTTAAACTGGATCATGTTTTTTTCATTCTTAAAAAACAATACTTTTCACATAGTGTAAAGTCATGCTACCGATTGCAAAGATCATAGATATCTAATATAATATATCCCAAGCTTGCACTTTAATTATAACTTCTAGAACCTACACAAGATTTACAACATGCTGAGTAGCCTTCATTTACTGATCCATACTGTGATTTTAAATTACAGTGGGATACTGAGTGACAAAGAAAAAACACAGCTCTTCCCATTGTTGATAAAATATTTATTCATACATTTCATATCCAAGGGTTTGCTATAGACAGTTGCTATTGTTTCAGTTATTAGATTTGAGTCTATTTTTTATTTTTTATTATATTTTTAGGTATTGGGTCTACATTAAAGCCTATATTTGCTTTAAAATGCCTGTGACAATTTGAACTTCCTTTTTTCTATTCTTGGGCTTTCTCTTTTTAGAAGAAATGAACTGTTGTAATTGCTGTTGCTTAGTTTATATTCTTGTGATCTTCTTGAATTGCCCTCAACAGTTGCTAACATGCTGTCTTCTCTGTAAGTGAGGAGTCATAAGTAGCTTAGAGCCTAGATAATGTCAACAAAGCTAATGGAATAGGGAAGAGAAGGCATGGATACAGCATCCTGTCTGCCAATCAGGAAAAAACCCTAAGGTTGGAGAGTTGCCTGAATGAAGCCAAGCTGTGAGTGTCCTGTCTGAAGCTTAAATGAGGATCCAGGTGTGAGTCTACACTCTAAACCAATGTGATGAGAGTCTTCAAAAGCATTCCCTTCCTTTGAGGGAATGGAAGACTTGCTTGGTGGAAGGGATGTTTTCTGACATGTGGCCCTTCCTTTCAGCTTAAAAGTAAAGGTAAAGGTTCCCCTTGCACATATGTGCTAGTCGTTCCTGACTCTAGGGGACAGTGCTCATCTCCGTTTCAAAGCCGAAGAGCCAGCGCTGTCCGAAGACATCTCCGTAGTCATGTGGCCGGCCGGTGTGCCAAAGGCGCACAGAATGGTTACCTTTCCACCAAAGGTGGTCCCTATTTTTCCACTTGCATTTTTTACGTGCTTTCAAACTGCTAGGTTGGCAGAAACTGGGACAAGTAATGGGAGCTCACTCTGTTACGCGGCATTAGGGATTCGAACCGCTGAACTGCCGACCTTTCTAATCAACAAGCTCAGTATCTTAGCCACTGAGCCACCATGTCCCTTCCTTTCAGATTAATGTATACCTTTTCTTTTTTTAGCAATAGCCTTTTTAACCTACTTCATCTTTTCATATAAGGCATACTTGACGAGCACAGAGCAGATTAGACATACAACTCTTTTTTTTCTTTTTATTGTCATTGTACATGTATACACAGTATACCCATACAACGAAATTCACTTAACACCCAAAGACCAGGTCCAACACACATAACAATCCCCAAACACATTCCCACCCACCACAATTCCCCACCCCTAAACCACCCAAACATCTACACAACAGACCAAGTAATGCTGTCCAACAGCTCACTGATGATGGCCCTTTAGTTCATTGTTGAGTGCAATTATATCTCTGGGATAAAAACTATTCAAAAAACATGTGGTCCGAATTTTAATTGTTCTGTATCTTCTGCCAGAAGGCAACAGTCCAAAAAGATTGTAAGCAGGATGGGAAGAGTCTCTAAGAATGTTATGCAACTTTCTCAAACAGTGAGATTCAAAGATGTCGTCCAGGGCTGGTAGTTGGAGCCCAATAATATTCTGGGCAGTTTTAATGATTCTCTGTAGAGCTTTTTTGTCTGCTACAGAGCTGCTCCCATACCATGCAAGAATGCAGTATGTCAGGATGCTCTCAATGGTGCTGCGATAGTAGGACAGAAGTAGATGCTGAGATAGATTTATCTTCCTGAACATTCTCAGGATGCAGAAGTACAGCCTCTTCTGTGCCTTCTTCACAAGTATGTTAACATTCATAGTCCATGAGAGGTCCTCCGAGATATAAATGCCCAGAAATTTAAAACTACCAACTCTCTCCACCTCCTCACCATTTATGTACAATGGTAAATGTACATCTCTCTTCCTCCAATTATAAGTTCTTTAGGTTTTTTGGTGTTAAGTGTAAGATTATTTTCTTTACACCACAATGTCAGCCCTTGTACTTGCTTTCTGTAAGCAGACTCATTGTTCTTATTAATGAGCCCCACCACTGTTGTGTCATCTGCAAATTTAATAATTGTGTTGGTGTTATACAATGGGCTGCAGTCATGTGTGTACAAGGAATAAAGGAAAGGGCTTAGCACACAACCCTGAGGGGCTCCTGTGCTTAGTATCAGAGTAGAGGAATGGTGAGATCCCATCCTTACTAACTGTGGCCTATCTGTCAGAAAATTGTTTATCCACAAACAAATCCTCTGATTTATACCCAAATTGGACATTTTAAGAAACAACCTGTTGGGTAAAATGGTGTTAAAGGCAGAGCTATAATCCACAAATAACAACCTCGCATATGTCCCCTGTTTTTCCCAAATGATTCAGTACAGTATGGACAACAATAGACTAGCATCGTCAGTTGATCTATTACTCCTATATGCAAATTGGTATGGGTCCAAAGTAGATGGAAAACTAGCCTTAATGTAGTTCAACGCCAGCCTTTCAAAACATTTCATGATAACAGATGTTAAAGCTACTATAATCATTAAGGCATACCACTACTGTCTGCTTAGGGACTGGCACTATAATGGATGTATCTGCATCTAGGTATATTCTTCTAAAAATTCTTATCACTTTTATTGCCTATACAGCAAGTTCTTCAAATTAACACTTGCAAAGTTCCTAAAATAAAGCTAAGTAAATATATATTTAATATATATTTACATATAATAATATACATTTATATATTTAAATGTATTCTTTGCTTGCTCTCATATTATATAAAGCAAGCAAGGTATTTATGAAGGAAATACTTTGCTTGCTTGTGTATTATGTTGCATGCATGAGTGAGTGTGCCAGATGATAATTCATAGTCCCCAGATAGATGATACAAGCCAGAAGTACTTGGACATATGCTCTGGATCCTATGAATCAAATGTTTTAGGTCACAATTTAACCTTAAGCTATTTTAGTCTGTGTTCGCAATCCCCCCCCCCTTTTGTACAAGGGTTTCTTATTCGGAGTTCAGGAGTCAAGTTTTGTTGCCCCTGGCTCCAAAGACAAAGGGCCTAAAGTCTGTCTTTACAGTTGGAAAATTGTGTTCTGCAAAAGCACTGATTACAAAAAGCACACAGTGTGAAGTAGACTATTGTAGAATTGTTAAAAGCATCAAAACCCACATAAATGTGTTGGCAGTAAATGTGTCTCCGGTTCATAGGCTACAGTAGTCACAGAAGTGGAAATAAAGATTATTACAGTTGACAAAAGAGAGAGAGAAAAAGCAGGGATGCATCCTGAAACTTGCCACTTCTAATAGGATAACAGACACACACACACACACACACACACACACTTAATTTAATTTAATTAATTAAATTTATATGCCGCCCCTCTCCGAAGACTCAGGGCGGCTCACAATACATTTTAAAAAATAATTATAAAAAAACATTGAAAAATTAAAAACATTAAAAACTCATTCACGCCATTCATGGCCGGATCTCTCTCTCTCTCTCTCTCTCTCTCTCTCTCTCTCTCTCTCTCACACACACACGTTATGATATAAGGCTAGCTAGCTACCTTCCTAACAACTAAGTCAGTGGTGGGTTTCTACCGGTTTGCCCCGATTCAGGCAAATTGGTAGCGGTGGCGGGAGGCTCCGCCCACCGCCCGGACGTCATCACGGACGCTCTATGCATGCGCAGAAGGTTCTGCACATGCACAGAAGTGCTGTGTGCGCATGAAGCATGCGCTAACAGTTCCAAACTGGTAGCGAAGGTAAGTGAAACCCACTAGCGAACTAAGACTAAAAATCTAGATGAAATAAAATAGAGCAATAAAGCAATTAATGTAGCAAACTTCCCTGCCAAATCTTTACCAGAATCAGAAATCTTATGACATTATCTTAAGACAGCCTTGTAAAATACTGTCGTCCACTGGCATCTGTTTCATGGAAGTTGCATGGAAGATGTTTTAGGAGTAAAGTTAGAAACACATTTTAGAGAGTTATTCACATTCAAAAAGATATGAGTATCAGTAAAAATACCTTAAAGAACTAATGGGTTGGGGGAGATGGCAAGAAGATTTATTGCCAGATTCTAATGTCTGATGAAAATAGGAAGAATTTTCTGGCACTAGATTTTTGTTCCCCAGGAAAATACTGAATGTCATTTTCGTTAAAGTAGATGTAAAAATAGATGTAGAAGTACACAAAAAGGGTATATTTATTTTATCTTTTTGTTAGATTTCTCTACATCAGAAATGTAGACAGTTTATGCATCATCTAAGAGA